CTTAGAATGATTGTCAAGGTTCGTTTGAGACATCTTTTTGTCTGCTTTATTTTCCAAACAAAAAATAATTAATTTGATTTGATTTTTTTTCACTATTTTTCAAAAAATTATGGGATGAAAAGTTTTTTTTTTTACAATTATAATTATAAAGTAATTTTCTCTATAATAGTTTCACAATTAACTTTATAAAATATTGTAATCATTTCAAACAAACTCTTCTATCATAATTTTATGACAAATGTGAGCTAAATGCTCATGTGTAGTACGACTTCAATTTCAATACCGATATATTTTAACTTATTGTAAATCTTAAATATAATTTTTGTAATAATTTCTAATAAAAATAATCAAAATTGAATTTAAAGTAAGAGAATGTGACCAAGTGATTGGTTGAAAAAAGAAATCTAAAATTTAAACTTAACCACAAAATCTATAATTTATTGTTAAAAACTTGCAATCAAAATTGAATCGTGATATAAATAAAAAATCGAAACAATCAATCAAAGCCGAAATTTTCATTACAAAAAGCTAAACCCAAATAAAATATTAAAAAGTTGCAACTGCTCAACTTACGTCCGCCCACCATACTAAATATCTTTTTTGTCATTTTAATGATATTCATTAATAAAAAATAATATCTTCACTTCAGCGGTTAAAGGCGAATGGGCTGACGTGGGTTTTAGAGGCATAATTTGTCGGGCATTTCTTCTCTCCATAAATATCTTGAGAGCTCATTTAATTGTCTAAAAAACCAAGATAAAAAAGAAATATTTCTAATAATATTATAAAATTTTATATATATAATAATTGTTGCGGACTAGAATATACACGGTGATAGAGTTAAGAAATTTTCGCCGCAGCGTTGTACGAATATTCAGCACACAACATAACATAAAAAGAAACGTTTGAGATTTTTACGTGGAAAACCCTGAAAGGGGAAAAACCACGGGGCCTTGCCCAGTTGAAATAGTTCTACTAGTGTTTTGTTTGAGATACAAGAGGTCGACTCGTCCATCAAGTTAGGACGATCAGATTACAGTAAGTTCCTTGTGAATTGAGATTCAATTACAAAGTTGAGCAGAGTTCCAGCGTCACTAAGGAGATTAGATAGAATTCAAGTGTCGTCCGGAAGTTGGTCCGAATATCGGCGTCGAGCAGAACTTTGATGTTACTTGCGAAGAATTCCGGCATCACCCAGGTGTCCGACAGAATTCTGACGTTACTCAGGCGGCGGGAAGAACTCCGGCGGTGGTCGAGGAGGAGTTTTTCCCTCATATCATTCTCTTCTCTTCTTCTCTTATTCTTCTCTTCTTATTGCTTGGGTCCCCTCTCATGAGAAATGAGGGTTATATTTAAAGATTTTCTGGAGTGGCATAGCTCGTAAATAGGTGTGAGATCAGGGGCAAATAGGGAGAGGTCGAATGGACGGTTGATATTAAATCCCTTGATAGTGCACAGCACGTCAGACATTTGAAGGTCTTAATGATGTCGGAGTTTGGCGATCTTGGGCTCGTTGGATTCGTCTCGTCAAGCCGTTCAATTCGACTATAAGCTCATTAAAATCAAAGATCATTTGGTAACTTAAATTGTGGTACGGACTTTCTAACAGCACTTCGGGTGCTTGATTTGAGTTCATTTGGACTCGGATTGAGTTGAATTTGGTGTTGTTGGGTTCGTATTTCTGAGACGCTCAATTTGACTATAAGCTCGCTGAAATTGGAAGGTACAAAAGTTGGCAGGCGATGATGGTTAAAGGGACTATAGTCGACGAGCGACGGAGGTTGGAGGGATTGTAGTTAGCGGGCAATGGTTGTCGATGGGATCATAGTCTGCAGGTGATGATGATTTGAGGGATCGTAATCATCAAGCGATAGTGGTCGAAGTTGTGTGTCGATGGAAACTAGGTGGATGTTAAGCGGTTATCAAAGGATTGGCTGTGGTCCGACAACCTATTAGGGGATGGGCTATGGAACAATGATGATCGGCAACTAGGCGGTGGTCTAGCAATGGTCGGCTGGCGGATGGTGGTCAACGGACGTTTGCTGCGTTGGTGCTTGGGTAGAACTCTAGGATCCTTAAAGTCTTATAGCTCTTTCTCATATCTAGAAGAAGGTCACTTCATGATAAAGCATTGGTATATTCATAGATTTTTGTGAGTGGCACACCTTATAAATATGGAGAAAATTTATGGTAGGATTAGAGTGCTCTATCAGATGACCCATATTGATTCCCTCAATCATTGAGCATTCATACATCATTTATGTGCCTTAATGATGTCGAAAATATGTGATATATGGCTCGTTGGATTCGTCTTGTCGAGCCGCCTGATTTAACAATAATCATGCTTTATTTTGATATCATATGGTCATCCAATTAATACTTTGAAGCTTCTAACTATGCTTCGGTCTTTTGATTTGGTCCTAATTGTGCTCAGATTAGACCGATTTCTTTTTTGTTGGGTTTGTCTCCTCGAGACATTCAACTTAACTATAAGATTACTGAAATTGGAGTTTGTATAGTTCTAAATTTAATTTTGGAAATTACCAGCTTGAATATGCATTGAGATTTGTGCATGTTCAAAATGATTTTTGTTGATGTATCAAGTTCATGTAGCTCGCTCACTTAGATCCTTATACTATCCCAAATCAATAAATTTTAATGGAAATTTAAAATCGAAATACAATAATATTTATTAAAAAATTTTAAATATTATGAGCATTATAAAATCAAATTTTCATATTTTATTTGTTTCTTCTAGATAAATTTTATAACAAATAACTAAACGGAGCCCGAGCTAATTTTTCCCCAAATCAAGCGGACAATATCGCTATCACATGTCGTCCTCCTCTTAAAGCTAGCTGAGCTTTGCTATTAATCTCACCTCCAGCTAGGGTTTCTCTTGCTCCGGGTGCTCCCTCGCCCTGCGGGGGGTTTTCCTTCCGGCGACATCCTGGCTTTAGGGAAGTTTTCTCCTTCTCTTTCTTCTTCTTGTGTTTGGAGAAGTTTTTTGGTTGGTTCTCTTCGGTTTTCGCCGGCTGTGTCTGTATGGCAAGTGCTAAGCTCAAGGACCCTGGTTTTTTTGGTGGGGGTTCTCACTCACGTTCTTTTCTTGAAGCACTTGCTGGCTCTAAGCATTCTTTTCTGGATTTGCATGCTTCTACCTTCCGTGGTCTACCGTCTTTGTGGATTTCCGACGAGGAAATCAACGAGCTGGCTGTCCCTTTTCAGTTCTCTTTAGTTGGCTTTTTCCCCTCTAAAAGATCTCCTCTAGACTCTATTCGTAAATTTTTTTTTCAATTTAAAGCTTAAAAGTGAGGTTTCTGTACTATTTTGGATCCCTCTCATATTTTGATCAAGCTTTCCAATGATCTCGATTATTGTAGGGTGTTCTGTCACCGTTCTTACCTTGTCTTTAACTGCTATATGAAATTAACGAAGTGGTCTCCTAGTTTAGATATCGGTGTTGAGTCGCAGGTTATCCCAATATGGATTTTGTTTCCTCATCTTCGTCATCATTTCTTCGCTCCACAAATTCTTTTTGGGCTTGGCAAATTGTTTGGCAAACCCTTAAAAATTGATGAAGCTACTGATGTTGGTTCCCGCCCGTCCAATGCTCGTGTGTTAGTTGAGCTAGACATAACTAAATCTTACCCTAAACAAGTTTGGTTAGGTTCGGAATCTTTAGGTTATATTCAAGAGGTGGTTTTTGATGAGTTTCCTCAGTTCTGTGCGGGTTGTAAATGTGTTGGACATTCCTTGGGTAATTGTCGTCCTGCTGCGTCTGTGCTTCCTAAAGTTTCTCCTAGCCCATTAGCTAATTTACCCCCTCAATGTGTTGAAAATGTTAATTCTATTACTGCTCCTACTGTTTTGAGGTTGTGGGGGGTGAGCTTGCTAATACTGAGATTATACCTGAAGTTTTACCGACTGTTGTTTCTCCGTCTTTTTCCCCTGTTGTTGAGGGCGTTTCTATCCAGTTGAGTGGTGTTAATTCTAATGGGTTGCCTGATGAGGTGATCGGAGGTCTCCCGACTGCAATTCAGGTGCCACAAATTAGTGCAGTTTTGGGCTCTTCTCCTATTTTGGATCAGTTGGATCCCAAGCCCCTCTATTGCCTATTTTGAATGTTGCGGATGTTTCTGTAGCGAGACAGAGTAGTGATTCTGGTGGGTTGGTTGAGTCGCCGGTTTTGGGTGCTCTAAATGATTGTGAACAGCTACAGGATGTTGTTGTGTCTGTGGTTCCTAATGAGGTGTGTGGACGGGTGGTTCAGTCGGATGTGCAAGGAATGCTGGTTAATTCTCAAAATCTTGTTAATGTGCTCGTGAATTTATTGGCTTCGCAAGCTATGATGTACCAGTTGGGTGGTAATTCAGGAATGGATGTTCGATCCCATGGTGATTGGATGCACTTTTCTTCTGAACATGAATCGGAATCTGATTCATATTCAGATTTTTGCGGTGGCTCGGATCCTGGCAGCGAGTTTAAGCTAGTTCGTGATAGACCTCTCACTGTGGCATCTCGTGGGAAATTTCGTGGTAGAGGCAGAAGAAGGAGATAATTCTGTTTCAATTTTTTTTTTCTCTTCTAACTTTTCGGGTTTGCTAATCTGTCGGATTTGGATGGTTGGAGGTTTGCAGGGTTATGATGTGGCTGGGGCTCGTATCCCCTTGTCTAGGTAGTGGCAACCTTGGATGTTTTCCTCAAGTTGGTTTGGTCCGATCAGCGCTTTATTCACCTAACTGGATGGTCCTTGCACGACTTCGAGGATGCTTGGAGCCTCGGCCTTTTACTGAGCCTTATATTAGTAGTTTTTATCCTTTTTATTATGCTTGGTTTTTTTCTTTGATGGTGTAATCGTTTATTATTACTTTTTTGTATCTTGCTGTTGTAACCCTATTTTATTATCTAATATATTTGCTGCTGTTTGGAAAAAAAAAAAAAAGCTAGCTGAGCTAATTCAAAAAAAAAAAAAAAAATGCCGTCCTCCTCCCCCTCTTCTATTTAATCAAACCCCATCAAGCCTTTAACCATAGAAATTCCAACCAAAATATCAGGAAGACAAGCAGGATGCAAAGATCCGAAGTCTTGGCCCTCGCCGCCGCAGCAGCCACGGCGATCACGATCGCCCTCTCCTTCAGCACCGCGGCAGCCGCTCCCGTAGAATACATCCGTTCTTCCTGCAAGGTAACCCGCTACCCCGACCTCTGCGAGAAGTGCCTCCTCAACTACACCCCAGCGATTCAGCGCCGCAGCCCCCGCCAGCTAGCTCACGCAGCCCTCAAAGTATCCGCAGACCGCGCCTTCGCCGCCTCCGCCTTCGTTCACCGAATGTCGGCGACCCCCAAGTCCTCCACAGATCGAAGAACCCGCGACGGCGGCGCTGTGCGCGACTGCGTTGAGACGATCGACGACTCGGTGGATCGGCTGCAGCGCTCGGTTAAGGAGATGGAGCATATGGGGCGTTACGGAAGCATATCATTCGGTTGGCATCTCAGCAACGTACAGACGTGGGTGAGCGCCGCGATGACGGATCAGAGCACGTGCCTTGATGGTCTCTCGCAGGACAAGTCGGCCGCGGCCGCGGCCGCTCGGGTGGAGATTCACCGGCGCATCGTGCACGTGACCCGGCTTACTAGTAATGCGCTGGCGCTCATCAACCGCCTGGATCCGAATAACTGATTGACTGATCTGCAGCTCTGGTTAATGGTGGTAATATGTTGCTCTGTGCTTGGTTAGTGCCCTTTTATGTTCGTTGGATCTGTGATAGTTAATTACCCTGTGAGGTAATTAGGGTTGAAATATATTATATATAGTTGTATATTGATGTTATGTGGGAGGTAATTATAAGGTTTTGGGTTTTTTTTATGGTGCTTGATGAGTATTGAGTACTGCTGCTGTTCTTCAAGAAATCTGAAGGTGTCTTTAGGGGAAAAATTAGTTCAAATTTAATTAAAATTTATTTATTTTACTAATTTTAAATAAACTAATAGAGTTTTCTAAAATTTTATTGAGTAATTTTAGAAATATATGATTGAATTATAATAAATATAATGAACTTAAATTAATTTTTAGAGTAAATTTCATTGGAGGAGTAAAGTTTTCGGGTTTGCTTAGGAAGAAGTATTTTGTTAGAAGTGATTGCGAAACTGTGTTAGAAAGTTAATTTTTTGAAAGTCATAGATATTAAAATTAATTCCTTTCTAAAAAATTGTAGAATTATTTTTTAAAAATTATCACACATTAATAATAATTTTTGTTTGTAAAAATAATGTACCATTATAAAAGTTTTTGAAAAATATAAAAAATAATAAGGAAATAATAATTAAATTAAATTATAATTACAAAATGAAAAATAACATTAAGAAATTAAGCTACTTAAGAGACCCTTAAGCTTTGTTTAGGACAATTTTTTTAGTGCTTTTTAAAATAATTTTATACTACAAAATTTAGTTGTACAAGAAATTTTTGTTATAGCAAAGACAAACATAAATTTAAAAGTTTAAAAAATGAGCTTATGGCATTCCCTACAATAAGCACAAAAGAATTGCTAAAAAAATCATATATATATATATATATATATATATATCACTTCATTAGAAAAAATTAAACTCAAGCATTAATAATTAGTAGTCATAATCACAAAAGCACTTCTAAAAGAAAAATTTGAGCAACTACGTGATATGATTGGAGTTATCAAAATGTGAATCAAGGATGAGTGGTAAAATTCAATGCTCATTTCTTAGCATTTTTAGAGTATTCTATACATGATAAAATCATGTCTAATGTAGAAAACTCTAGACTAATGTTGATAGAATTATTATGTCCTGGAATATTCGCAACGGTAGAGAAATATAAATTTTAACGTCTTAGCTTTCTACGGAGATCTAGCTCACAATCAGATAAGAGAGATGGTGCAACATTTATAAGACACTAGAGATTTTTATGTGGAAAACCCAGAAAAAAGGAAAAACCATGAGAGCCGGCCTAGTTTGAATTAATTCACCAGTATTTGCTGTTGATTACAAATGAGGTCATTCCTTGGGGGGAAAGCATTGGCTTGATGTAACAAATATATATCATATAGAGTACATTACATCGTGGACTTTGGAAAATCAAAATTGATATGTTTGTTTAGCCGGAAGGACCATAGTCGAATGGCGACAAAGATTGGAAAGACCGTATTCGGGTGACAATGGTCGGAAGGATCACAATCGGCAAGCGAGGGAGGTCAAAAAGACCATTGTCAGGCGACGGTGGTCGTAAAGATTGTTGTTTGACAATAGAGGTCGGCATGACCATAATCGGTGGGAGAAGAAGGTCAGAAAGATTGTAGTCGGGTGAGGGTGATCGAAAGGACCATAGTCGGCGGGCGACTGAGATCGGAAAGACCGTTGTCTCACAACAAAGGTCGAAAGGACCGTAGTCGAAGGACCGTAGTCAGGTGACAGTGGTCAGAAGGACCATAGTTGGAGGGCGACAGAGGTCGGAAAGATCGTTGTCAGGCGACGAAGGTCAGAATGACCGTAGTTGGCGGGCAATGAAGGTCGTAAAAACTGTTGTCTAGTAATAGAGGTCGGAAGGATCGTAGTTCATGGGCAACGAAGTCCGAAAAGACCATAGTCGGGTGAGGGTGGTTGGAAAGACCATAATCGGTGGGTGATAGTGGTTAGAAAGACCGTTGTCTGATGGAAGTTCATTAATAATTAGAAGCAAAGTGGAAATTTGGCATTAGTTGGTGGCCAAGTGTAATTCTCATGAATTTGTGGTATGGTAGAACTCAGGTGTCAATCAGTTGTCCGATAGAAGTTCGGGCATGAGTTGGTGGTTTGGTAGAAATCCAGTGTCAATCGGTGGTCCGACAAAAGTCCAGGCATCAGTTGGTAGTCCGACAGAAGTTCAGACATCAGTTAGTGGTCCGACGGAAATCTGGCATCAATCAGTGGTCCAACAGAAGTCCGGGCGTCAATTGGTGATCCTGTAGAAGTATGGGTTTCAGTCAGTGGTTCGGTGAAAATATGGCGTCAATTGGTGGTCCGACAGAAATTTTGCATTATTTGGTGGTCCGTCAGAAGTTCAGGCGTCAGTTAGTGGTCTAGCCAAACTCCGACTTGAATCGATGGTTTGGCAGAAGTCCAAGCGTCCGTTGGTGGTCTGGCGAAAATCCATCGTCAGTCAGCGGTCCGACAAAACTCCGGCGTTAGTCGGTTGTTCGGCAGAAGTGCGAGCGTCAGTTGGTGGTCTGATGGAAAGTCGACGTGAGTTGGTGGTCCGACAGAAGTTCGGGTTCTAATTGGTGGTCCGGCGGAAGATCAAGGGTCTTTTTATAGTTTTTTGAGAGTGGCATGGATAGAAAATATGAGGAAGATTGAGAGTAAATTGGTAGTGGTTTAAATGAACGACCGATGTTGAATCCCTTGATCGTCGATCATTTATTGGGCATTGAATGTCTTAATGATATCAGAATTCGACGATCTTGGGCTCGTTGAATTCATCTTGTCGAGCCGCTCGATTCAACTCTATGCATGTCATGTTTGGAATCTATTTGGTAACCAAATTATGGTTTGAACCTTTCAAATGTGTTTCGGGTCTTTGATTTGTACTAATTTGGGCTCGGATTGAGTCTAATTTGGTATCTTTGGGTTCGTATTTTTGAGACGTTCAGTTCTACCATAAGTTTGTTGAAATCGGAGTTCAGATGGTCCCAAATTTAATTTTGTATGTTTCTAATTTTATTTAGCCTCAAGATTCGTGCCCAATCAAATTAATTTTTTGATGATATATAAAGAATGATCTAGTATATTTGTAATAAATAATGAAAACTTAAGAGTAGTGTTGATAGAAAAATCTAAGGTATTTGTAATATAAAAAAAAAAGGACTCTCGAATTGCTATGTTATAGAAGTTTGTAGATTTAGCTTTCATACTTATAAATAGGTAATCTCATGATGTTGTTATTAAAGTTCAAAACTACTTAACAAAAAATTTAGAATAAAATTCTTCTTCTATTCTCCCATCCAAAATCTTCATAACTCATTGCTTGCCTTTCTATCTTTTCTCTGCCAAAACATTTCCAATAAAAAAAAGATATTTTTATCACATTTAAATGATAATTTATCTCAAGCGAGCAAAAGGATACATTTAGCTAATCTCACTGTTGTTATTGAATTAAATTTAACTTATATTTAATGAAAACGAACTTAGTGACATATTCATACAGATATTTTAAATAATTATCTTAATGTGGGAGGCCCCTCCACCGACACGTAAAGAGAAGGCAATAATTGACCCATGCAAGGTTGAAAAGCTAGAAATAGATGCCTTTACTTTTCTCGGTCCAAAGGATTCAACTCGGGCAGGTATGAAACAGGGTATGAGGGGAACGAGAATGCCAACAAGTGAAAAAAATTGCTACTAAACCCATAGAAATTATTACGCGTGGGCATCGGATTGTTAGAAAATAAATTAGGATGCGCGACATCATCTAGTATAAAACAATACACAATCAAAAAAATGGCAAAATGATGACGTGCCGTATTCTAATTCGTCACCAGATAACATTCAATGACTGCATGTAATAATTTCTGATGAGCATGAGGGCTTTAATAGCCTTCTTCCCGAATAAGAAATCAATACGTTCACACAGGAAGCTATCCTGCTACTTGGACTTCGAAATAATCAACTAATGTCTGCAAATTCCCACCACAAAGCAATAAAATAATATAATAGGCTTTACTTCCTTTTTCTATCTTGTGATTAGCAATGTTATTATAAGAAAAAAAAAATCTTCAAATGCTTTAGGTGGATTAAGTATGGGAGATTATTTTGTGCGGACATCGAACACAGCTTATCATCCAGAGGTGAATCAGGTGCAGCCACGTCATCCAGCAGTATCGAGCTTGGTACCGAGCAGGAGATGACGTGGCGTATTTTCATTGGGCTCTAGACAGCGTTCGACGTCCGCACAAACTAATTCCCTACTACGTAGGCCCCTATATGCCATGTGGTTGTCAATGCACCATGTCAAGTCATAATTATACAATCTTTAATCATAACAGACATATTGCACTAATGGAAGCAGGTGATTTTGTCATTTTTCATCATTTGCTGTCAACATTTGCTGCTTAATTATAAGAAATATTTAAGCAAAGGAGAAAGATGAGAAGACGGAGAGAATGAGAAGATACAGAGATGAAGACGGTGACACCGGCAGGAGCACATGGAGACTGCTCATTTAATTGCATCACAATGGTAGCTGAAACTGAAACTGGAGACTGATAGATAATTAGTGGACCATTTTGTGCCATCAATCGTAAATAATAAATGGGGATATGGCAAATTAGCTTTGAAATTAATAGGTTATTTATTCATTCCCAAATAAGACAAAATAGGTTTTCTTACGCAGTGATAGTGAGATTACTAATTTAATCGGCTAGTAAATTTGATCATTTAGGATTTTATCTTCGTCCAATAAATGTTTTCTGAATCTTGTCTGGCAATGAATAGTGATCTGCCCTTATTATTACACATATTTATAGCTATGCCGTTTATGTGCAGTAGGAGAGATTATTACGTGTGGAGTTCGTATCGAAGTTGTGTCCAGTTTTTATGAGTGTGCACAACAAAAGCAAAGTAAAAGTGCAGTGATGAACAATAAATGTGCTTTTACTGCGCACAATCACAAAAACTGGTTGGTTCTCATGTCCAGACTCCACACGTAATAATCTCTCGTGCATCAAACATTGAAATCGAACAACGGTAGGATTAGCACTACTTTTTATAACTATTACCCAAAAGAAAATTTGCCTTTGTTGAAAAAAAAAAGATGCATAAAATTGAAAGAATTGTGAAAGGAATGTGAAAAAAAATATAA